GTCATCTAGTTAATCATAAATGATAAATAAATCACATTTAAATACAGTTTTGAATGATTTGTATTGAAAATCTTTACAGTATGCTAATAAATTTTTTATACTAATTAATTACGCTAATCAATTGTGCAAATTAATGTCCGGTCAAATTGATGAGATGTCTTACCAAAATGACAATTTGAAAGGACACATGTCCTGTTAAAGAAGAAAAATTATTTCCAGCACTGATAAATCAAAGCGTTTGGGTTGAAGATTTTATCTAGATTAAGGAAACCAGGAACTGCCACTCAAAAATGTTTAACAAAAATGAAATCGCCAAGTTTAAATTTTTGCAACTCAGCCTCAACAGCGTCGATAGTTGACTATCATAAAACACTACTGGATCAGGATTCAGACGGAAATCACTGGTTTTAATACTGGTTACTCTAGTATAGGGTAGCAAAATTCACCTGAACTAGCCCTGGTACTGGCTAAGAGTTCCAGGGTCCCAGCAGCACATCCTCACCCAGAAATTCCTAAAGTACCCCCCCAGCATCTCGCCTTCTGTCAAAACAGTCACGCAAGAACAAATAGAAGGAGTTACAATGAAATCCGGGGAATTACAGTTATTTTTTACACATACTTGACTGACACACTTCATTTCAATTGCAAGTGTGGTAAAAAAAAAAAAGATAAGTAATTGTCTTGATTGATGAGCAACCGCAATGTTCGCCAATGTTCTCTTTGCCCGAAACTCTTTCGGCACAGTAGTTGAAAGTACTGCACGCTTTAAGCATGTTGTGTTATTTCACACACTAAAGCGTGTTATGGTACACTATCTTTTGTTTTTGAAGTTTAACACATTTCTTTGTTGGACTGCATAGTTAGTGTGTGCACACTTTATTGTTCTTAGTGTGTCCAACCAAACAAAAGAGCTACCTACTGAAGTGTGCTTCTGAACACGCTTTAAGGACGTTTGCGCCAATTGTTTCTGCACAACCTTACTGCGCATGCAAATTCACGCGCCAAGTTGTGCGTGAGAACATGGGCTAAGTAATTAAATGAACAATGGTAGGGCAGATGGCCATTGCTATAGCTTTACCTGGATTTAACAATCTTGGACTTTCGGTGACTCCTATTTTGCTTTGCAGAAACATATTTTATTTACAATTACCTCCACATTGTCCAAACATGAAAAAAAATCAATGTAGGAAGTTTAAAAAAAATTCAAGATTTCTGTCTACGGGACATTGAATCCTGCCATCTTGCAGCTGCAAGGCACGTGAAACTATGGTCACTAAATGCAAACTTGTTCATTAAGGAACCTCACCAGTTGACTAAATTCCCCTAATAGGTCCACTTAAACAATATTTGGCACTTCAAAGATCTAATTGCAATATTTTTGGGCTTACAGACACTAATACTGTGTCCTTATTCGCCAACGAGGCCCGATTTCTTCAGATTTAGGGTGTTCTTCTGGGCATGTTCTCTCCAAAACGAAGTCGGTAACCCTCGTATTTTTTACATTTCTGACATAAATAACTCATCATCTTTCAGTGGTAAAAGTCTCAGAAAAAATCAATGATGAAAAATTTTCACACCAACGTCCTTAAGTGTGCTAAAGACAAATTCTTTTATTTTCAAGTGGAAGCATGTTGTGAGTGTGCTATCACCTTAATCCCTGTTTTCCCGAGGAGGGTCATATATTAAAATGTATGCCTAGATAGTCTGAAGTTCTCTTTCCACCATTTTCCAACAAAATTTGAGGGCAAAAGGGTTCAGACCAGAATTGATTAGTGAAGTCATTTCTGAACGTTGAACGGCTTTGGAATTTGAATCACCTGGTTAAATGAATGAAAACAGAAGTCACATTTAACTAGGGAATGTTGCTCTGTAAACAAACACCTACAAAGAATGTTCAGCTAGTTAATTGGCCTAGTGAATGACAATATATTTATTTTACATGAATGTAAATGATTCTGCTGCTCAGATCCCCTGTGGTCTGAGTTCATTGACAGTAAATTAAAAATAACAAACAGAACTTGGCATTGATGCAGAGCCTGAATAATGAAATTTTGCAAACCAAAGCCAATTTCATGAACACAAACCAAATGGGAGGTTTAAAATTACTTACAGGCCACAATTTTAGCCTGTTCTTTTGTTTACGTTTTGAATTCATGCTGAGTTTACATCAAAATATGACAAAAGAGTCATGGAAATCTATCTCATAGTATTCTTTTTTTAAAAAAATGAGATGTATTCCGTAACGTCTTTGATCTACTTGGTAATGGTTGCCTTCACTGCGCTTCTTTTTCTGCAAAGTTTGTTGTCCTAGGTCACCTTAGATGTAGGTCACCTGTCGCGATCAAGCATGGTTGATTCTTCACTTGAATTCATGGCCAAAATTTCCTTTTGGTTGAGCCTTGGTAAACTTGAGCGGCAGTTATCTTTGCACTAATGTAGGCATCAGACTGAGAGGTGATTTGAATGCTCACTCTGATTTATAGAGGTAATTTCAAGAATGCATCTGGTTGAGTCATGTGGTGACGGCAATTTCATGAGCATTTGACTCGTCTAGGCATTCAAAATGACCAGGAGATGAGCATTTGTTTGCTGGAAAGTGACCTACTAATGTGGTAAGCTTTGATGAGAATGTGTCTTATTCGAGGACTTTAATGAACTTAAATGAGCAAAACGAACACTTCTCAATGAACGAAACCAGGACAAACATCGGCACCATTATATAATATTGTAATTTCATTTTTATAATTAATAACATCTAAACCTGAGGTCAACCGAAATATTGTATGGAATATACCGTGTGCCAGCCTTGCAGTAGTCATTGACTTATTATCGTTTTACTTTTCAAGTTTCCAATGTTCAATCAATTGAGTAGT